CTAAAAGCTATGGCAGCTTCGTTCGGGAATAGACAGTTCAGGGGCTTGAACCAGTTTTGGTCCTCATTTTTCTCTGTTCCTTGAAGCTTTTAAGAAAACCCAGCTTGATTTCAATCTCAATTGCGACTATGCTTGCTGGTGTTGATGTGCACGTATGTGAGCATTGATTTCAATCTCAGAATGTTTATTACAGTTTACACAAGGTCTTGTTCGATCAACCACTGTTTAATTAGTTTACTTAAAAGTTTTAAGAACTGCAGAGAAAATAAATTACGAGATTGGATTCTATAAAAATGATAAGAAATATGTGTGCTCGGTTAGCCCAATCTAATCTTCTAAAAATATTTATTTAATTGAATTTAATTTTATCACTAAAATAAAAGTTGAGATTTTGGTTAAAGATTTTATAGGTCTTTGTACTATACTTCAAAAATTTATTTTAATCATTCTACTTTAAAAGAAACATTTGCTCTGATACTATACTTAGTTCTTTTAGTCAACTATTAAAAATATTTTAGTCCATGAACATTTGAAAGTTCATTTTAGTCATACTATTAAAGGAACATTTTAGTCCATGAACATTTAAAAGTGAATCTTTTGGTTTAAGGCTTAAATATTTAGGTTTAAAAGTCCTTTAAATCGACCCTTCTCAAAAAAATTATTAATATACATTTGAAAGTGGGTAAATAATGATGATCTACGATGGTGTTGACATTTTCATCAATACACGAGACGTGTCCCAACTTTGGTTGGATAATTTTCTAATAAAAAAAATTTGATCAAGTTTTTCTTGATTTTGAAAATTTTAAATATTTTTATATGATTTTTTATCATATTTAAAATTAAAATCTTACTCTTCTCCAAATATAAATTTCTAAAAGAAATTCAAAATACAAATTTTCAATTAAATATTTCAAATATTTTTTATGTTTTAGGTTGTAATTCTAATATAATTTCAAGTGAAAACAACCAAGTTTAAAGTTAGAATATTAAATTGAATTTATATTTCATAGTTATTTAAAAAAATATATAAAAAAATCACAAAAAATATTTTGAGAAAGATTAATTTGTTTGAGTCCAAAATTGATAGAGACCTAAAGAGTATTTAAACCAAAACAGTTAAGCCAATCAACAATAACTTTAATGTTTTGGACCAAAATTTTAACTTTTTTCAAACATACACGAATTGAAATGGTTTTTATACATAATACAGGGACTAAAAGAAACTTTAGTATAATACATTGAGTAAAATATTAATTTTTTATAGTAGAGGGATTAAAATAAACTTTTAGATATAATACATGATTTTTTTTTAATTATTCTAATGTGATTATAATTAGTATCTGTTCTAAAAATTCTCAATCATTTAAGAATTAAAGTTCAAAAACATTTACCGTCTTTAGTGCTTAAACCCTAAAATCTATAAAAAATCACAACTATTTCTTTAATCATTAAGATAACTTGATTTATATAAATAAAATACATGAACTTTTAAACAAAGTCTTTAATGTTACAGATATTATAACGTAATTTATTTTAAAAATTATATTCTAATATTGTGGATGCGATTTCGATATTCTTGAAAAATGTCATAACATATCATTTAGTACGTTGTCCCGCAATTTAATACTAAATGCCTAATAAGCTCATCTGCGTATGTATAAATAGTTTGCGAATATACGGAAAAGTAAAAGGAGATTACTGCTCATCACTCGTATAAAAAACAACCATAGCGTACGCTACTCGGTTTCTCATTCAAATTGTATGCTTTCTACTTCGATGATTGTTAGCATAAAACAACTACAAACTCGTAGTACAAAGTAGCAGAGATAATAAGATAACGATGAGCTAAATCAAAGTTTTGGTCCAAAGGGTTCTCCTCCAACAAGAAAGAGTTGAACATTGGAGACATACGTACATACATGCGTGCCTGTAAATCATGGACTTTCTGGTGGGAAGAACTGCGTGCCAGAAATGAAAGGATCAAGCATTCTTGTTTCAGGATTGAGTTGCTGAGCCTGAGAGCTTTCACCGCCACGAGTTTCAGGGCCTTGATCGTAAAGAATCCCCTTGAATACATGCCCGCCGATGTTCACAGCGGTTTGGTAAGCGTATTGGTCATCATCTATATCTTCCATGGCGTTTAGTTTCACGCAACGGAAATCCGCTGGAGAGCTCACTTCTGGAGGGAACTGAAACAGTTCCAACCCTAATTTTCAAAAGGTCCAACAACATTAGAAACAACAAGTAATAGTAAAGCAACCAATAGAGGGAGGAAGCAAGCACCTTGATTCTCTCCTCGAAACTGCTGCTGTTGTTGTTGCTGGTCTCGCCTTTTACCGGCAGGAACCCAAGTACTCTTAACGTGAGTTTGGCAGTGAAACCCTCGGCTTCTGCAACAAGTCCTGCATCTCAAATGGGAACAGTCTTTCTTAGCTTGGTTTCCACAATCTTGGCAGCAGCTGCCTCCTTCTCTCACATCCGTGAACCCTACAGCTCTGGAAGACGACTCGTCATAGAGATTGAAGCCGGTAGGTCTTCGAGCGATCACGTTTTGGTGTTGGTACGAATTATTATGCTGCGTTGGCCATATCTCGAACCCTTTGTTGCACATCTCCTGGCTTCTGTACAAATTCAGGTTCTCCTCTTTGTCTTCTTCTCGTTCACCTAGATTGAAGAAACCTGCCATTTGTTACACTCGGAAGCTGAAACCCAATATCCATAACAGAGACACTTGTTTGGGTTTAAAAAACTTAGGCCAAGATTTGAAAGAGACGAGAAAATTTAGGAACACATAAAAAAGAAAAGAAACGGTAAAAGTACCTTTGAAAGTCCATCTATAAAATAAATTTTTATCAATTTAGATTTAAAATAAATATCAAATTTTAAATTTATTCAAAGTGAAATAATATACATTGTTTTTACTACTTAATTAATTAATGGAACTCGGACGTCCCATATTATTTAGGAAATGATTCCTAATTATAAAGTATTGTTTTATTAAGTCTTCTGATTATTAAAAAGTTATAAAATGATCTTTTGATTATAGATGTTGTTTTGTTGAGTATCTCGACTATTAAAAGTTATAAAATAGTTATCCGATTATTTATATGTTTCAAAATAGTCTTTTTTTTTTGTTAAAATATTGATGCTCGAATGACATGGACGTTAACTTGCTGATTGAAATATGATAAAATTATATTTTAATGATTTCTACTGGCACAACTGTTACTTTTCAATCACTGGTTCGTCAGCATAATGTTTCAAGTATTAACTTAAAAACATAATATAAATGAAGATTTGATCTACAAAATACAATTAAAATAATTATGAGATCATATTTGATCATATCTCACTCTATATGTTTACGTTCATCTCAGTCATTTATAATTTTTTTATCAAAAAAATAATAAATTTGAAACATATAAAAAATTATGTAATAATTTTATAATTTTTAATCGGCAAAAAAAACTTAACAAAATAATATGAGATCATTTATATCCTTTACACTATTAAAATTACCTATAAAATAAATGAGAACACAAATTTTCTTGTGTAAGATCCGTGAGTGGGATCTCGATGAATTCGACCCGTCTAAGGGGGAAAAGAAAGACGGGTGATTCCAATTGTGTCGCTGTCATTCACTCTCGAGCCCTGCGCTTGCTTTCTCCTGTCCCGGTTGACTCTCTCCCGACCACGTATGTCCCTCTCATACCACATGAAGCGATGGTGGAGTTGAAACACCTCTCCAATTATTCCTTCAAATCGGTATTTTCAGATCCGCAAAAAACGTTTTTATCTCTTACAATTCCTAAAGCTTTAGCCGTCCATTTAGTAGAAGATTCAATAATTCTTTTGAGGTATTCGATATCAAAGACGAATAAAAATCTAGCAGGTCTGAGTTCAAGTATTATGGATATATAAATTTTTTATTAGAAGATTCATTTATTAAAATTAAGTGTGTGATACGGATTGTTTTACATTAATCGGAATAAAATTAAATGTGCAATACTATATACGCCTTTTGAGTGATCTCTCAGTGTTGATCATACTGCTTTCCGTCTAGTTTTAATTTTTGTTGCACAAGAGATTGAACGAAATGACGTAGGGAGACCTATATCTCACATGGTGTAGAACTATATAATAAATTAATTTTAGTTCCACTTGGGCTCTAAACCTTTTCTTGACCAATTTCTTTTTAAAGGGAACGGAGAGAATACATGTTAGCCTGAAAAGTAAAAGATATATATATAACTGCTAGAAAACATAAATTTAGTGGCTTTAAATTTTGAATAACTATTATTAAATCTCACTGATATTCTAAAAATATGAAGAAAAAATATTTTATGTCACGAAAATAAAAATAACAAAACAATAAGAAAAAGATAGATGAGAGTAAGAAGAGAAATTCATATTATTATTTTAATCCGAGTTGTAAACAATGTTTTCTCTAAACTTCATATTTATATACATAAGGAGTAATATTATAGATTTATAAATCTAATGAATATTAAAGTATATCAAAGATCCACATAAATAAATATTCATAATATTCTAATAATTAAAATATTTTTATGAAGATTCTAAAAAGATTACCCAAAAAAATTCATGCGTGGTTAGATATTGTAGACATGTATTCACACAAACACGCACTGTTCAATAAAATATGATAATTGTTCATTTTAATAGAGATAAATTTGATCAAGGATGTAGATATACTCTCAAATCAAGTTTTAAAAGTGATTAAATTAATTAATTAAAACTTAATAATAATAAAATTGATAAAGACTGGATCTAAGAGGAATAGACTAAACTTTTATAAAAATAAGATTTTAATATACTTCCTGATGGGAGGATGAACTCATGATGTCCATAATCTTATATTTGAGCTTTGGTGCTCATATCACTTATTCAACTGAACCATTACCTCCATAGCTTTCTAAGAAAAAAATGAAATTTCCTTGACAGTGGAGAGAAAGGTTCAATTGTTGCAAACTAGTTGCTGCTAACAAATGGCATTAACAAAATAAAGGCTAGTTTAAGCACGCAACACCATCCTTATCCATTTGATGTTGAGCCAAATAGCTAGAAAACGCAGGAAAATCAAAAGGGGACATATTAAAATCGCATTCGACCTGCCGTATTCGAACCAGCGACCTAAGGATCAATCTGAGGGGAAACCCACTACAGTCCTCCCCTCTACCAACTGAGCTAAGGTCGGCTTGGAATTCTGTTGAATGTAATCTAAACAATCCTTTTCATATTGTAAAATGCCCTCCACCAAAGCATCTACTCTCTTGAAACAACAATACTTGTTTAATAATTAAACCAAGAAAATAATTTGACTGCCTGAAATGTGAGCAATGACGCATGAACAGAGGTATTGCCATAACTGGTAGTGGTATTATAACATTGGGTGGCATTCAAAGCCAGGTTTACGAACAAAACTAAAGGGATGTGTGGGAGAAGGATTGTATTTGTTCTGATTTGACATGAAACATAAGTTCACGGTCTCTTCTGGTGGAGAAACAAGTATACTTAAATCCCTAGTGACTAATATAAATGTATTGCAATTACAGAACGAAGAAGGAAATTGGATTTTTTTCCCATCATCCAAGTCGCTCTGTGATTTCCCGAGGAGGCTAATGCATGTGGTTATAGCATAATTATGAGTTCAACTTCTATCGAAGCTGAGCAAGACGTTTTACTTTTGTAAATCTATTAGGGGCCTTACACTTGACCCTTTTGTTGCAATAGTTAAATAATCCCTAATTATTTGTAGTAGTTTACATAAACATGTTCTTCAGTCTAATCACCGTTAATCTAAAAATGAAATGAAAAAAATCCTGAAAAGGAAAGAAAAGAGCTTGAAAAAAAATCCAAACCTTTCCATCTAAAAAATAATGAACAAGATTATAGAGGCTTTACTCTTCAAGTCCCACATTTTTCAAACATCATTTCCTCACATCTACAAACAACAAAACATATAATGGTTTCAGCCCAATGATTTGTTAAGTTGATTGACCAAATATTCAAATCTCTTTGTACAATATATGTAATGCCAAACAATTTATCCACTACGTACGATCCATGTGAGAAACTGAATCAAACCCAAATATCATTAGCATTTCAACTGTCAAAAAGCCTACATGACAAGAAGGGTGAAACACCAAAGTTCCATAAAGTACCCCTGCAAATCTCTATTCCACGGGGACTAAAAACCATGTTAAAGCACTTACATCTCTATTGCTTATAAAACTTTAAAGTCGATGGAGGGAACATATTCCAGCTTCAGCTTATATTAGTTGGGTTTTTCAATAATATCATCCAACCTGCTTTGGTCACAGAATAGTTTCTAGGAACTAAGAATTTAGCAGGTGAAATAGGTAAAAGTACTCATACCTCCCATTGGCCAACCGCAACACTTTGCCAATCTGGAATTCCAAAACAAAGGGATTAGCAATTAATTAATAACTGAGAAATGAAATGGGTATTCCATTGACCTTCTGGTATATAAAATGAAACACCCAGCTAGCATTGCATAATGCATCCGTCTAAGCTTACCCAACAGATCATAAACACTAGTAACAATGTCAATGTTCTACAACTTAAAAACCTTCTCTACCCATACCAAGTTACCAACAAACAACTCACCAAATAATTTCAATGTAAATGTCGGTAGGAAATAGATCAGAGTCTTGGAATGAAGATATTTCATGTATACTAATGCACATGCAGCAGTTCAACACCCCCCCCCCCAAAAAAAATAATAATATGTAAAACCAGAAGCACTCTCAAACCACTACAAAGAATGTAGTATTGTCCCTCAGATTCGTTCCATGCATGTAAATCAATCATTCCTTCAATGCATGCAAATCAATCATTCCTTCAATGAAGATTTGAAGAAAGAAATTGAAGTTAGCAATTGATGCTCAATTAAAAAATTCAAGATAATGTTGCAGTATTTCCAGATAGACAATCTCAGTATGCTTGTCATCACTAAAAGAACACTAGGCTGTACAAATCAAAAACAAGAAAAGACACGTAATGTCTCATCTGTGGGAACCGAGAATAAAATTTTGGCTCTTGACTACCACCGTTTCATGTATGCCTTTGTGCCAATAATACAAGGATCTTGATGTTATCTTCAATGCCACTCACTTTCCCACAATACAGAAGCGATGGATAACCACTGCACTTTCATTGATCTCATTTATGATAATGAAGGCAATTTAACATCCAAAAGGCTTCTACCATTTTCCAGTACTGTTCCGATAAACTTTGCAATAATGTTCCAACTTGAGCAACTTCTGATTCGCTTTTGAGGGTCAATCAAGATTATAAGGCAGTGAACCATGTTCTTTTGTTCGATGAACACCTAGGTCAAGAACTGCAGATTGTATAACTCTTTTCCAGCATCACCATATTTAAGGCAGTGAACTCAAGCATAGAGGCCTTTTAGGTCTTGTAGAGAAAACCAATAAAGCATAACTAGTCGATCCTTAACACAAATCATGGTTTCATGATGTGCTTCGTTGACATGTGCCTCTCAATCAATTTGTCTACAAAGGGACGAATCTGCATATCAAAGGCATCCATATTAAGCTTGAGTAAGACCTTAAATCAGTTTTCTACCATTAAGTATCCATTTTCAAAAGCTGCAGTTGTCCTCATCACAGTAAAAGTGAAAGTAAGAAGTATTCAGTTT